TATTTTTGCTTAAATCTGATTACTAGACATCAAGATCTTACATCTTAAAGTGATCATTTTATTATATTTAGAGCATAAAAGTTTATGAACATAAAACACCTCCAATGTAAAGATGATTTTCTAAATTATTTTTGGAAAAAATAATATTTCAACAAATAATTCAGTTTTGCTATATTGCTTATATTAATAAATATTTAAAAATCATCTAGAAATGCTTGTTTTGATTTGTAGAATTCAAATAATTTCAAAAAATAATTTTGATTACTAATAAATTAATTTCAAATTTAATTTTAGCAAGTTAATTTCAGCAAATTATTTAATTAGCTGATATTATTTTAGCAATCATCCTTACTCTAATGTAGAAATAAATTATATCAACTTTAAAAAATATAAATAAATAATATTTGTGTTATTCTTTATTTTTAGAAATTTTTAGAATAATACGCATGATCTATAAAAAGTTATTACTTATAAATACTACTGTATATATTATTTCAAATTATAATATAATTAGTATACAAATTAATTATTTTTATTTATTTTTATTATTTATTTACTTTTTTATTTACTTATTTGCTTATTTATTTATTTATTTATTTACTTGTTTATTTATTTATTTACTTGTTTATATATTTGTTTATTTATTTATTCTATATAATTGAGATTTTTTAATATAATTAACAAAAGTAACTGTACTTATTTTTAGAAAATATTATAAAATTTATTAAAAAATTTTTCATATTTTATAATACTTTTTTAAAAAGCTTGTATAATTTATTTTAATTATAAAAAATATATAAAGTATATAAGTAATAAACAAATTTGAAGATTTTGTAAATAATATTATATATTGAATTTATTTAATTTAATAATTACTAATATATTTAAGAAAAAGTATATTAAATATCAAGTTACAAAATTAATTAGATTTTGATTATTAAATAGAGACAAATAAAGTGAAAATAATAATTTAGTGAAATTAATATGAAAAGAAAGTATTAATTATCTTATATAATTCTTGTTATATATATTTTGTAGAAAATCTGTTAAGAAAAAATAAGTATATTTAATATAATACTTGAGCTTTCTGAAATTATCAAAAAAAAATAACAAAAATTCTTTATAAAAGAAAGCATATAAAGAAAGAAGATATTATTATTTCTTATAATTAATTTTATATTTATATCTTAATATTTAAAATAATCTTATTGAATAATAATATTTATAATTAGTATTTGAAATTCTATTTGAATTTTAGTTCAAATTTCAATTCAAATTTTTATTTAAATTTTAGTTTGAAATTTAATTCAATCTATAATTTTATTGAAAGTTTAGTTTTTATAATTTATTTATAAATATAATATATATCTTAATTTAGAAAATTAATTTAATTAAATTGAGTTAAACTTAACTTGTTCTTTTTATATTTCTTTTAATTAATTAGTTTATAATTTCTCATCTTAATTGTGAAATTATTTTTATTAATTTCTTATTTACTTTAGCAAAGTTATATTTCTTATAATATTTGAAATTGATTTCTTATTTATATTAGCAAAATTAATAGTATATAATTGAATTAATAAAAAAATTATATTTAATTTGTTTATAAACTAATTATTAAGAAAATATAATTATTCTTGAATATTTCTGATCTTATTCTAGTTAATCAATAAATGAATATATATTATCTTTAGATATTTATATTCTTTCTCCTATTTAAAATTATATTTTATAAACTCTTTCACTTGAAATTAAATTTTATAAACTCTTCTACTTGATTTGATAACACAAATTATTTATATATTTCTCTTATAACAAAGTTTAAAATTATATAAAATAATAACGAAATTTGATGCTTTTTTTCTCTGTAAAAACAATTCAAAGATATCAAAGATAACAAATTAATTAATAAACAAATTCTTTATAAGTAAATTACTCAAATTAATAAATCAAACTGGACTTAATAAAATCAACTAATATTAAAATAAATTGATTATTTAAAGAATTAAGAGACAAAGTTAATTTAAAAAAACTCTTATTAAAGAATAACTTAAAGAAATAAGATAATAAATAATTAAAATAATTGTGAAAGCTATCTAGAAAATATAATCACCAAATTAATTAATTAACTTAGCATATTATTAATAAAATGAACAAGAAATTCAAATATATATATATTATTTACAACAAGATATTATAAACTTTTTGATATAATTGATGACAACAAAAATTTTGAGAACAATTAGCTAAGAATTTAATGAGATCTATAAAGATATATTTAGAGTGTATAAGAATCTTGATAAGAAATCATAATTATAAAGTATTAATTTAGTTTTATATATTATATATAATATATAATATAACTTAATATAATTAATGCTATTTATTCAAAATTTGTTTAATTTATTCTATTGTATTATTAAAAACTTTTTTACTATTATAAATATTATTTTATTTTAGCAATTTAAGAAATTATACTTTTTTATCTTTATAATTTAAAAAAATTGCTGTAATTAATATAATTATACAAAATAAATCAAATAAAATTTTTTAAAAAACTTGTAATTTCATATATTTAATTGATTGATTTATTAATATGTGATATATCTTGAGTTAATATTTGAGATTAATATAAGACTAATACAAAACATGAAATTTTGTATAACTGAAAATAGTTTTTTTTATAAATAAAGTTTTGTATTTTATTTACAAATAATATTTTATTATAAATAGAATAATTAATTCAAGAATATTTTATAATTTTCTAAAAAAGATTTTAAGTAATTTTATTGGTTAACTTTAATATAATATTTTTTAAAATTTTTAAAATTTAATTTTTACTATTTTAAAATCAGTTTTTTAAAATTTTTTAAATTACAAGTTTTAATCAATTTATTTCCTGAATGCATTGCATTATTGATCTTTATAATAAAAGGAAATTTTATTTATGATAAAAACACCAGACTGCAATGATTCAATAAAATTATATGATATGATTATCCAATAAGTCTAAGAGTTTCAGCTCTTGTGTGGCTTTGATCAGATAGCAATAAGAAAGAATTTATGTGTGATTTATTTGTTAATCAATTTTATATTTGTATTGTATTAGAATTAGTAGAAGAATTGCGTTTTTTTCTTTGTGATAATATAGCTAGTACAACTTTATAAGTGCTTCTCCGTTTATTTATTATAATTCTATTATGGGCAATGGGGTAATTACGCTATTTTGGCTGAAAACGAAAAAAGAATCAAAGTTATTTACGGGTTTCAATGGAAAGATAATGTAAAAATTATAAAAATGTCTTACTCTGGATCTTTGGACACCCGATAAAATTTATCGCAGAATTCAGTTTGACCAATAAGCCGTACAAACTCTTCATCATGCGTAATGACAATAAGCTGGAAATTCTTTTGAGCTCGACGTTCTCTTATTATTCTGAGAGAAGTAATATCAGGGTCAGAAAAATCGGAAATCCTTTTACCATCAGTCTAACATAAAACTTACCTGGCCAGACTTAGTGCAAGACTTCGAATGTTATCCAAATCAAGATTAGTTGTGGGTTCATCAAGAGCGATAACGCCGCAATTTACACAAAAAGCTTCCGCTAACGCCAAACGGATGATTATTGAAGCTAACACTTTTTGTCCAGCACTACATCTGCCTCTCATGTCAAGTACAACAGAACCCTTAACCATTACCACCTGAAAATTATTTAGATGTGTTATTATCGTTATGATATCTTTTTTCTACTGAAAATTCATGAATTTACTAACCCGATAATTATACGATCCTTTACGTGTACTACCATCATCTTCGGAACGAATCTCAATACGATCAATATCTGTACGAACGAGTATTTTTTTTAGATGTTGGCATTAAAAAGAAAAAAATTAAAATTTTCATACCACTTCCTTGATACGTATTTCGCCAAAGTTCATCAATAATTTTGTTAATTTCAACCATTTTCTTTGCGTGGAATTTCATAATCGCACTATAGAGAAGATATGTTATCGTATAATCTGTATAATATTTAAATTGTATTTAGACTTACTTGTCAAGCGTTTTAGCATAGGTGTCGAGATCATTAATGCCCATTTTTTCAACCTGTATCGAATGAGGATAGGTCTAGATTATCAAATATATAATTAAACTTTCTTCGTAATGTTCTTACCGTTACATTTATAAATTGTTTGTGATATTCTTCTTTGGCATTTTTATAATTTTGCTTAAGTTCTAGTTCTTGCTTTCGAATTTGCTCTTGGATTTGACTTAATTCTCCGATTAGAGTCGCTCTCTGAATAAAAACAGAAATTAGTAGGAACGTTTGTAAAAAAATAGACATGAATGATTCAATTAAATATCAACCTGCATCGTAAATTTCTCGTGCTTCTTCTGCAGTTCGGATAATTGTTGACTATAACGAGCGTCGGTTTGCTGACCAATTTCTCCTTGCAAATGATCGATTTCATGAGCAATTTCGTCGATATTCTTTTGTATTTGTCGATAACGGATATTATCATTTATGTTTCTTTTAGTATTTTCCACTTCTGAAGCTAATTTGTCAAAGCGTTGCAGTTGTTGTTGCAATTTTTCTAACTCCTTGGTTTTTGTTGATATTTCTGACTCCAAGCGTTGAATCTCCGCGTTAGATTGACTTAATAAGTCAGCATTTCCTTGCTTTGTATATCTTTTAATGAAGGTTGTGTATCAGTAATAACTCTTCGAAAACAAAAATAAAATCTTTTTATTATTTTGACTTACTGCTCAATCTCTTGATTAAGGTCATTGAATTGACTTAATGAATTCTTCAATTCTTGAAGATCTCTCAACATAGAACTTTCACGTTCAAAATTGAGTTGGTGTTTTTCTTCCAACTTGTTTTTGGCAAGAGTAATTGAAGGACGAGTAGCACTGATTTGAGCATCCGCTTCCTATTAAATAAAGAATTTATTCAATGATAATAGTAATAGAAATACAGAAGCTCAAAAATGATAAGTTAAATTACCGCAATTAGATGCTCTTGTTGTCTGATCTCTGCCATAATTTCTTCTTTAGATTTTTCTAAAGCTATGCGCTGCTGCAATTGATGTTGTACTTCTAGCAATTCACGACGTGACTGATGTAATCGGTCCTCGCGATTTCGAATTTCCCGTTGTTTTATATCTTTACGCGTACTCAACTGCTGAATATCGCGGTTGATTTTGTTTCTTTTTATAAATAGGAATTTAGATCCGATAATGATTCAATTTAAAAAGCTATAAGTAACTTACATTTTATCTCGTAAATCATCACGTTCGCTAGTCAATTCCTCGAGAGTCTTAATAGAACCGGTATAACTTAACTGTAACTCCAAATCCTGGATGTCATTATTCAATGATTTGATTTCTTTAGCCAAGCGAGTAATTTCACCAGAAATTATATATAACTCTTGGATACGTTGTTTTTCATTTTCAAGAGCGGAAGCTTCATTTGAAGCCTACATAATTAGGATAATTCTGTCTTAATCAAAAGCGCTAAACAAATTAATGATGTTCGAAAGATCCGTTCTTACATCTTCACTCTTTGATGCTTTTATGTTTTTGTTATTCTGTAATTCCTGAATTTCACTTTCCAATTCTGGTATATCAACTGTTTTTAAGCGATTCAAATCATCCCAATTTGATTTTAGCTTGCGCATTTTTTGAATTTTAAATTCAAGGTCCTTGATTTCATTTTCAAATTCGGAAATTTTGGCCGGAGCTTTAGCCGTCGAAAGATGTTCCAACTAATAATAAAATTATCTAAATTAAATCGAAAAAACCATCAAATATTGATCTAATATATTGACTACCTTTCGTAGATATTGCTCGTATTCATCTTCGACAGTGTATCCCCGTTTGCATACAGGACACGAATGACTTTTTTTCGCTTGCGCTAAGAAGTTTTTAAATATAGACGAAGCACTTTTTGTCTCAGCCAATGAACTACAAATAAAAATTTATTGTCAGAGAAATTATTGAGGATCTTCGATACATATACAACATGACAAAGTAATACCACTTACTCGCGTAGCTCATCCAACTCGTTTTCATATTCTGCTAATAGATCTGGTAAATTTGCTCCATTGCACACTTTGTTAATTTCACTAATTTGGGCTGTATGATCAAGAAAAAATTTCTCAATAAACGTGCTTTCTTCAGCAAATAAATAGAGGAATAATATTAATATTTACTAACTTTCGTATTGTCGACGTTTCTGATCAGTTTTTTTCTCTGCGTTTCTTAATTGGACTTCGATGGAAGATAAATTGCTCGTGATATTTTGATAGTGCTGATATGCCTTTTGAGCTTCTGCTTGCTTATCGCTTTGATAGAATAATCAATGGTAAGCATGTAAAATTATATCAAGGAAATACTAAAATTTGCATTGTAACTATTTACCGCAATATGACATCCATATCAGTCTCAATAGAGTCTAATCGAAAATCTCTGTTTATATATTTTTCGAAATCGGCTTGATGCGTTTGCACTCTTTAAAAGATAAAAATATAATATTTATAAATAGTTTTCACAAGTAGACAAAATAAAGGAGACATTTAACAATACATACTTTGATTGAAGTGCTGATTCTTTGTTGGATTTTTCATTTTTCTTTAGCTCTAGCTTTGCCCGAGTCGATCCCTCAAGAGTAAGATTACTAATTTCAGCGTCCAAGTCAGACGCTTTAAGTTGATCTTGTCTTAAATCGCTAGCCAATTGACTTAATTTAACATCATCATCATTCGCGTAAGCATTCTTTGTTTTTTCGAGGGATTCTTCCTATTTTTTTTTTTTAAATTAAAAACTTGAAATGAATGCAACTAATAAAATTATAAAAGTAATTAGAATGATTCCCTACCAATTCTTTAATTTGTCGTTCGATGGTCATGACATCAGATTGAGACGCTTTCATTGACCTCATATCAAGTTCTACCTTTTGCACTTTTTGTCGACATGACTCCTATTAGATTTATTAATGCGGTTAGAGGAAAATAGGGAAATGTGTTTTCATAGAATCATTATAAACATACAATCCTGTCTTTTGCAAACTGCTTCGTTTGTTCTTGGGTGTTTAGATCAGAAGAAAGAATCATCAATTTCGAATTCAACTCGTTTTCGAGCTTGTGAGCTTCCGTCTATTCAAAAAAATAAATTAATAAGTAATCATATCCAAGTTCGACATTCTCGTAACTAACAACAGAATCATACTTTCATAGATGTCAAGAGATTATTTTGCTGGTTGGTTAAATTCGTAAGGATGCCCGTGAAAGTTTCAATATCCTTATTTGAAAATGTGGTGGTATCGGAGAATCTTTCAATATTATGTTTCTGACATATATTCTTAATCAAACGTTCTCGCTCTTGCATTCTTTTAAAATAAGCCTACCAATAGTGATTATTTATCAGTTCAAATTAAAAATTTACTATTTAGCGTTACTCATATAAGAAAACTCACATCATATTGAGCTTGGAGATTTCCTTGTCTTGTGAGAATATTGTTTAAAGCTGTTCTTAGACATTCCAACTCATTTGATGCTTGATCTTTTGAAACTAATATTTCTCGTTTATTGGAATCGTTAGCATCTACTCTATTCATATATTCATCATGCAACCTTTGTAAATCTGTGTCCGATTCTATCAGCGAAATTTAAGTGAGCGTGAATATGAAATTGATTGATAATCAATCACATATATAATTAATAGAAGCAAAACCATGAAGCTCGGTGAAATTAGCAGCCAGGCTGTTTCTACTAGTCTCTAGAAAAGATTTCTCGCTTTTTTTCTCGTTGAGACGCGATTCAAGCATAGTGATTTTTTTGATTGTTTCCATTAATCCATCAATTTGACCGGCTAAATTGCCAGCTTCATTATCAAAATCATCAATTTTTTCGGTATGATCAATTGCTTCTCGTTGTGCTGCTTCAATTTGAATTTCAATCTGTAAAATTATTAAAGGTAAGCTTTTATAAATGGAGATGATTATCTTTATAAAATGAAGCTACCGTTTCCGCTCTATTCTTGTTATCAAGACAACGACCAAGCCTTTCGTTTTCAAGAATTAGTTCGATTGCTCGGTTCTTTCTCAAATCTTTTATATTAGAAAGAGCTTTGGTATATCTACAAATTATTATTCAAGATTAAGAGAAATAAAAAATCGTTTCCGAGAAATTCGTTGGTTCTACAACTAACCGCGTCACCGCGAATATATCGTCGAATGATTTTTTAACAACGCTTGGTTCGGCAAAAGGCCTTTATAAGAAATGTCATGTTAATACTGATAATTAATTGACAATTGACACAACTTACCAAAAAGTTTCTTCTTGATGGCAAAAGACCACGTGATCAATAATCGATTTTGAGACACCCAATTGTATAGGAAGTTCAGCATCCATGTCCGCACATTTACCCGTTATACTTGAAGTCTAAAAGATGCATACATAATAATAAGAGTCGACAAATTTCCCGAAAAGACACTTATTCAAACAATTAAGGCATTTACATTGCCAGTTTTAGCACTCGTGATTTGCAGGAAACTTTCAATAGTGCTGACCGAGCATTTTTGAGCTGATAGTTTTCCTTGTAGAGAACGTGAAATAATAACTTCGTCTCCTCCAACAGCATCAAAGCTGAATTGAACTTGAGCTAGCACAGTTGTTTCGTGTTTTAACTGAGCACGAGAGTACATGCATTTTAGTAAAATAAAAGCATAAAGAGGGCAACTAAAGGACAAGTAGTAGACAAACCTTTGGATCATAGATGAATCCACCGCCTTGAGATTTTGGCGGAACACTTCCAGTCGTAGCGTACCTCAATGCCTCAATTATAGTCTAGAAGCAGGGAATTGACGCGTCAATAATGTAAATTTGGCACCTCGCATTGGAATTTACGGCAGCCTTACCGTCTTCCCGGCACCATTATGACCGACTAGTATAGTGAGTGGTGTTTGAAACTCGATAACTTGGGAAGCGTCCGGGCTAAATGAGCGAATACCTTGAAGCTTTAATTTTTTAATTACAGACATTGTTGGAAATTTTCATTAGACAATGTTTGAACGTGTATTTATTTTTCAAAGCACGTATCAGGTAAGCGTAATTTCCACGTGATGCTTCTCGCTCACGTGAATCTAAATCTTGTATTAAAAAATGTCCATTTCAAGCGTTAAATTATACTATGTTATGTATGAAAATGAAAAATTCTATATATCGTCTAATCTGCCGAAAAACATCAAACCTACAAAAACGAAAAACTCGCAATTTTATTGACAATCCTTTTCAACTTCAACCGGTCGATCACTGTACAATAACGCGACAAAATTTCCCGTGATTCCTTTTTCCCATGTGGAGAACACAATCACGTATCCTGATTAAATAAATTTCATTATTCTCAATTAAATCATAGGAGGAAAGACATTAAGGATAGAAATAATGAGACAAATAAAATCACCATGAGGAGGTAACGTGACTTCTTCTATATAAGCACCCTGATGAAAAAATTGATGCCAGTCAATAAAAATGAACACCAGATATATCACCGAACTATTCGTCACAATACTCACTTGCGTATAATTAGTATAAGGCCCAGAACTAGCAACTTCACGGCCAAACTTTGTTGTCGCATGCTTTTCAAAGATTCGAATGTTCGTTGTGGGAATAGGTTTTATGTGTGGGGTTTGTAGTCGTACCCTTATTAAATAAATATGTTGAATTAAATAATTCGATTAGGAAATGAAAATAATATACTAAGTTACACTTACTTTATTGTAGTCATCTCCTTAAGATAAAGGTAATAGCATGGATTTCGATGATACTCACCGAAATTAGGACGTCCCATCGCATTAACACCATCAATCCTAGTAATTATTAAACTGATTATTACTATTAACGATATAAAAATAGAAAGCTGTTAAAGTCAAAAAATTTTACCATTTTCCAGTAATCACTTTTTTGAACATTCCCTGTTGTAAAAAACAATAATACAATATTAAAAATATATGATAAATGATAAAGATTACTAAAATGAATAAAAAATGAACGAAATAACGTACAGCTCCTTCTGCAGGTATAGGTACAACACTAAACCCAATTGCGTTCGATCCAACAGTCAATAGGAAATCACCACATAGACCAGGTTCAAATGTTGACAGGATAATGGTGTAATCACCCGCTTGATGTTAACAAAGAATTTTCAATTAATCAAATCAAAACAAAAAATAATTAAATTAATAGAAGAGAGAAATCCTCACGTTGAATATCTTCCACTTCACAATAACAGAATCCGTCACGGTAATCACCTGATCGAGATAATATATCTTTGGCCGATATACTTGAGAGGGAAAGACAATAAATCACAAATCGTGGATACAGATCTCGTAACAAAAAAAAAAAGGATTATAATCTAGCAATTTACCTAGCAATTCTTTTACCACGACCCCATACTATTTCCACGTGAACAGCAAAATTTTTTGGTCCCTCCAACATTATCAACAACCTTGGCGTATTATTAGAAGAATGTGGTATTGAAACACGATACTGTGGATTATTCAAATAAGTGATGTGAGCTTTGCTGCCCCCTGCTGTAAGAGGTGTCCATTGACCTGCAATCTGATAAGTGAAAGTAAAATAATTTATATAAAAATCGATATAATTATTCGCGAGTGAGTGCTAATAGCTCCAAAGAATAATACCTTCTTTTCAATTGGATACTTTTGTGGAACCTCATGTAACGTGAACGGAGAAATACAATAACATCTTAACGTGAAATCCATCGAATTCATTTTTTTGAGTTGTGCGACTACGACGGTGTACCGTGTTGTACCTGTTGGCGCAATAAAGTGCACCTTTTTTGTAATAGCCGGCAATTACTTTAAATTAAATATAATGCTCGTTGTATTGATAGAATAGGAAGATATATTTTACCAGAATATGAGGACTATTGAGAAACATGCCCTATAGATACAACAGGAAAAAAATCATATTCAATTATCTATTTCTTAATACTTATAATCAATACACACAGAAATCAATACCTCAAGATAAGGAATTCCAGGGTAATAAATCTTTTCGCCAAAGGTTGCAATAGTGTCCAAGCGATTACTGCTACCACTACTATTGTCACAATTATATACATGTAAGGTGATATAATCCTCGTTTTTTTTTATCTCCGTAATGTGTTTGGTGAGTAATAGAAAGACAGCACATGGTTCTTTTTCAGGATTTTGTATTTCGAGGGCGTATTGTGGATTATTAGCTTTTTTTTTTTTTTTAGATATATGTAAGTATTTTATCACGAAAGAATATTACTATAGCTCAAACTTAAAAGAAAGTTACATAGATTTAAACAATCAGAATGCATGCTGTCGCTTTTAGGCCACGAACTGTAAAAATATAAAGTCAATTCATTATATTTAATTAAATGAAAACACCTGCTTTAGATAGCATATTAAACTTACGAATGTAATGTATACCGATAAGAAAATAACTCTGGATTCCAATTCATATGTATTGAAGCGAAATGTTTCCATACCGAATCAAAGTCAATCCAGAAGATACCTATACGAAAAAAATGATTACTTTTCCGATACCATAAAATAATAATCTGACCAAAAAAAAACCCAATATACCATCGTCTTTATCTCTGGCTTTTACCCGATCATAATCCAGCAATGTCATTAACTCTTTTGTCCAACTTGTTTCATCTAGGTGACTATATGAGCCGGTCCAGCATTTATGACTCCATGGATTTTTTACCTTTTTTTAACAGAACTATTAAAAAGTGTATACTGAAAAGATTCCTTGAATATTAGAACTAATCCTAACCTTTAACAAACAGAGATCATTCACTTCTTTAGCGTCTAAATAATATTAAAAATATTAAATAAAATATTAAAATCCTCCTCCCAAAATAAATAACCAAACTGATTCTAATTAAAATTACCTAACACGGCATACGCATGAGTAGGAACCAAACCAACCAAATCTGCTTCTTCGTCTGTCATGGACCCAGTTGCGATTGTTATCAAAGCATCACCTTTCAATTATAATGTTATGTTTACATAAACAGTTTTATATTAAAAAAGAAAACAAAGGTTCCAACAAAAAATTATTAACTACCATAATTCTGACCATCCCGGATTCTTTTCCACGTATTATGTCGCTTATTAAAATCCGAGCAATAATTCTGGTCATCCATATTTTTTTTCCACGCACGATTAAAACCCGAGCTATTTTTTTTTCGAATAGCCAATAAATCATCAAATTCATAACGACGAATTTAAAATTAAAACTTTAATTCCAAATTACTTACTCGTTTATGAATATATTTTCAGGGAACCATCCAGTAAGAGCACTATTGTAATAATTACATTCGTTAATATTAATATTAAATGAATTGGCTTCTCAAAATAATGAAATCAAAACTTAACTATAAATCAATACCCGAATTACTACAAAATTTAGTCAAAATAAGTTATTAAAATCACATGAAAATAGAAAAGTCGCGTGAGTCTAATACACTGAGAAACTTACGATCCAGGAAAATCATAACCTCCCATTAACTTCATATACTATACAAAGGAAATATAAATTAATTTCAAAATACTGAAATAATAGAGCAACAATAAAAGGAAATAAATACCGCTTTCTCAATTATGCTAGGCCAAAACTCATTTTCATTTGACGAGTACGTGCACATAAGTTTCTTTTCACCACGTGAAACGGGGAGTAAATCATCAACCACTGAAAATCAATAAATATTTCATCATATTAAATAAATAATAAATATCTCCTCTCAATCAAAAAATCCGATGATTTGATATTACTGACCAACCTAGGAAAAGATATCAAAATAAAAATATCAAAAATCGTAGAAAAAAACAAAAAATAAATATTGGATCAAATTAAACATATAAATAAACTTACTGACATACTTTTCTTGCGACGCCATTATACGTTAACTTGATCATGTATTTTCCACTCGGATTATATATTGGTTGTCCCCATTTGTTTTGTGGATATATACAATGGGTTATCAACTATTTATAATTAATAATAATTATATAATTGTTCGATAAAAACTATTTTAAAATTATCAAAGCAAAAAATACTCGCCGGTTTTTTGAATTTTCTTTCATACGCTGCTGCTACGCATAAAGACGCGACAAACGAACAGTCGGTAACAATATCCTATAAGTGCAACAATTATTAATAATTATCGTCATCAAATAAGTAAGAGAGCATATGCATTTTATTAAAATAATTGACAGTAACCTGAATAATATTCTTACTAGAAATCATTGCAATCATTTTAGGGGTTTCTGTTAACTCGGATGGACGTCTCCAAGCACCAAAATTAGCTTGTTGTTTATCTGATAATTTCATCGTACCTTCAGGATCCCTAATCCAATTAAATAATCACCAGTTTAATAGAATTTCGAACAAAACTTAACACCATTTCTATAATAATTGATATGATTCATACATACAGGAATGGTTTATTATAAGTAAACTGTTCTTGCAAATCAGTCTCAAGCCAAGGATAATAGATTTTACCATTGATATGCGAAGTTTTGAAAAGTATTTCCTGCTCTGTTGCTGTCAATTTACTATCTGACACAGAACAACCAGAACACGTGGATTCTGCGCTGGCAGATTGTACATCTTTTAAAAGTATAATTATATAATAAGGTTTTGTGTTTCCTGTTTCTTTGATACATTCAAAATCATGATTCCTCTTACTTAATAATGACACTGTTTTCATCGGTACTCCTTTGATATTCTCAGCTCTATCAAGTAATCCTTTTACTTTTACCGTCAGGCTTGCTTTAAGATTTTCATCACGCGTTTCTAAATAATCAAAATAATTAAAGTGTATAGAAAACGTCACTTACACATGCCATGTAATTAAATATATATATATATATATATGATGAACCTTTAATAGCCTTAATATAATGTTCTACCACGCTCGTATATAAATCTAATGCCTCTTGATAATTTTTTTGCGCGTCTTGTTCATTTGCCCTTGCTAATAGTGTCTACTTTTAAGAAATTGTTTAAGAATATGATGTTAAGCATAAAATAATCGCTAATTAATTCGTCTAAACACTTATATACGTATATATTTAATTCGATATTGATTCGGTCATCTCCATAAACACCTCAAATCACAAATAAAATCAGACTATACGGAATAAAAATAATATTCTACAAAACCTGCGCATCATTCAACAACGTTTCAACAGATAGAATATTGTTCAATTTTTCAACGCGTTTCTTGTATTCTTGACATTTGAGAATTGCAGTATTTTTATTTTGGGAATTGGATTCGTCTATAAATAAATCGAGCAAGAAATTATCTTAAATTTCTTTTTACGAAAAAGGAACAAGACAATGCTACAAATACCTTTGATAATAATTTGCTCAAACAACTATTATAACAAGACAAGCCCAAAAGGTGACATACAATGAAAAACTTTGTAATAGTATCAATCATAAATCAATCTTTAACTAATACATCTATAGAATCTACTACTATCACACCTGTATAACTTTTACATAATAATTTTTCGCCATTTCAAAATTTCCTTTCCCATCTTCGGTTACTGCAAGGTTGGCTACACTTAAAGCCTGTTGAGCTAGATTTGTATTCGTATTGTTGGTGTTCTTGTTAGGTCTAGACATTTCAAGGTCGAATTTTCATGTGTTACACATAATTTCAGAAATTATTTGGATTATTCCGCTTTAAAACGCGTTTATTTGTTATCGTTATGTCCAAATGAGTTTTTGATCGGCGATAGGTTTTTCCTGTTGCAACACTTACAACCAATACAAATAAGTCATTTAAGATGTTTTTATTACTTTTTTTGCTACGAAATACTTGTATGGCTAAACTAAAATCTAAAAATGACAATGTTTTTTTCTTAATTACTTTGATTGGTCTTATAAATTAAAATATGCAAGCATACTTATCGAATCTTTTTAAGATGTTTTCTAAGCGAAGAACCATTCATTACAATATCAATGGCCCACTGATATTCGTGAATGTAAAAATCTACCAAGCCGTCGCTTGCGAATTTTCTTCCAACATCCGACGAGACATAAATTCCCTAACTCCATCTCAAGTTTTTCAAATTTGGTACGTTCATTATTGACTTCATTCTATTAATTCCGAAAAAAGATCTTAATCCTTGAATCGATAATAACGGTTCCGTTCTGATTTCAAAATTTCCATCAAACGGCTGATCTGCTCGTTTCAAAGTTGACACACTTGTTACGCGTTTTCACTGGCTAAAAACAAAGACAAAAACCCACCACTGACAGCCTGTTGTCCCAGACCCGAGTGTAAAAAAACCTTATTATACTTCTTATAATTCGGCCCAAACCTACCGTAAAAGTCGGACATAGGTACCCGGGCATAAATCACAATCTTGCCTTTAAAAATGGTGAGGGGTACACATTGGGGGATACCTATGTCCGACTTCTGACTTCTTTCCAAGCTTTACCTACGAGAAAAAATTACTTATACGTTTAATGGAAACGGTAAATTCAATAATGCCGGTTAATGTTAATATAAAAGAACTCCAACAGCGACCTCCCGACCCCTGACGAACAAAAAAACGACCAAGACGTGCCACAAAAAAGTAACAATCGTCAGGGGGTCGGATTTTCCAGCAACGGAGTTATATAAATAATTCTCAAAAAGGAGAACGGTTAAAGCGTAGTCCATCACGTGACATATCTTAAAAATATTAAAAGGTAATTTTAACGTTAGGGTTATATTTGAAATTGCCTTCCCGACATTTCATTTTTTGTCTTTGCTTCAAATTTGTTTTGCCGGGTTGATTAAAAATTTACGCATCCTCATTGGTTTGTTTTTCGGACAGATTATCGGATGGACTACGCTTTAACCGATTCCTCAAAAAGGAAAGTAACACGACACAAGAACACGTCCTGTGTAATAATTCTCAAAAAGGAAAATAACACGACACAAGAACACGTCCTGTGTAATTCTCAAAAAGGAAATATCATAACACAGGAACACGTCCTGTGCATGAAAATAAACAACAGCACGTTGATCGCTTTTTCAATATATAATGGAGAGGAGAATAGTTTACAACACTCCAAACTCCATCGTGATGGTTGTTTTCACACTCCTTCGGGAGTGAATTCCTCTCCTCTTCGAGGAGTATCTTTCTCTCCTCTCTTCGAGGAGTGTTTGTTCCTTTAGAAGTGCTCCTTCGGGAATGCCTTCCTCCTTCGGGAGTGTTTTCAGGAACGTTCCTTCTTTAGAAATATTTCTTTTGGATCTTCCTCCTTAGAAATGTTTCTTTTGGGTCTTTCTTCTTTAGAAGTGTTTCTTTGGAAATGCTTTCTTCTTCTCCTTTATAAATGTTTCTTTGGGAGTGTTTTCCTTCCTCTTCTTTAAAAGTGTTTCGTTGGGAGTGCCTTTCTCTTTCTTTTCTTTACAAGTGTTTCTTCGAGTGTCTTCTCCTTTCCTTTACAAGTGTTTCTTTAGTGTGTCTTCCTCTTCCTTTTCTTTATAAATGTTTCTTTGGGCGTGTCTTCTTTCTTCCTTTTTTTGGAAATGCTTTCTTCCTCTCCTTTATAAATGTTTCTTTGTGAGTGCCTTCCTTCCTTTTCCTTCTTCCTCTTCTTTATAAGTGTAACTTAGGTAAATGCGTTCATTCTATTTAACATTTGTAATATAATTGACCCTCTCTGTTGTCAACATGACGGGACCAGGCATTTTTGTTAAGATATGAGGGTTGAGTTATAGTATCAATATATTAGTCCAAGTGAAATTTGTTCTGCAATAGATGTTGATAATAAAGAGGTTGATAATAGAGAGGGTTGACTATTGAAGAAAATGTATTATATTTTTAAATTAAGACATCAATAAAGACTATCATTCGTTTATTTTATGAGAAGTAATAGAAGATTTCAATTTTATTTACACTTTAAAGTATCCCTCGGATATATAATAAGTACCCTTCCCACTGTTGTTGATTAATATTAAATTAAATGTGCAAACCATAACATACGGTAGCATAAAACGTCGTTTAAAATACTTTTGCAATCGATTTCTGCGTACATTGCTTATATTTTAAACGGTGTTTTACGGTATTTTTTTATGATAGATGAATTCGAATAATAACTCCAAATTCCGAATAAATAATATATCATAAAAATTTTACCAGTTCATGTCACAATTTGAAAATAAAGAAATATTTGCAATGAATCGTATAAATTAAGTGAAGTAACCTTAATTCTCATTGATATTAAGCAAAAAAATAAATGTTCTCCACCCAGAAAATGAAAAAATTATAGAATAAGCTAATAATAAGCTCAATTTCAAATAAACTAATCCTACTACTAAGAATCTTGATCTTTAACAATACCGACCATCGAACGATCCCATTTCTGTCTTTCCAATACTTCAACTGGTAAATTAGCAAATCCTCGAGATACGAATAATCGACGTTTCTCCAAATGTTGTTTCCACATTAAATTCTGCGGCTGTAGCGTGTTATTATTATTGCCACTGTTGCTGTTATTAGAAGCCTCTTCACTGCGAATAAACGATCCAATACTCATGAACAAGGCAAATGATCCTGCTGATGTGGCCATAAATTGGCTTAATGTGTTGATGTAGCCACGTGAACCTGGACCATGTCTTTGTATTATTTAATAAAACATTTAAAAACATTCATTATTAGTTACGATTATCTGCCCAAGAGATCATATATATATATGTACACCTACTTAAATATAGTCCAGGTGCCAAGTACTAATCCAAGACATAATCCAACTGCCCCGCCCATAATAGCACCCCTTTTAACACGTTCAATTCTTGAAGGCTCCATTTTCATTCAAATTATTATTGTTCTCCTGTCATAAAATAATACACAAGTTAACAAAATAATTTACAGAAATGATGAGTCATCAGTGATCACCTGCATTTGATAGAACTATGATATATCGATATACTGTGCATAATTGGTTGTGGTATGTACAATAAACAACTCTTTCGTGATTGATTATTTCCACTTTTGAATTACTAAAGAATATTATGAATTCTGTGCAGACACTTTTCTTTGGAATTCGTGAATATCTCAGTCCAGTGTTAAAAAATTCAAAGTTCAAGGAGACTGGCTGCATCACTCCTGAAGAGGCAATTATAGATTTCTTTAATAATTCTCTATCATTAAATTTTTTGGTCAATATCCAACTACTTTACAACGAGCCTTATAAAAGAACAGTTTTGTGCCATTGGCTTTTTTTATAAATGAATAGTTTATTGCTGCTGGCGACTTTTTAGTGTACAAGTGTCCAACATGGAACTGGTATTATAAAATTCCATTATCTCTTTGATATTTTTCCGATTTACATTGAATTAATCGCAACAATGACTGTCTATAGGGAAGGTGGTGAAATCAGTAAACGCAGAGACTATTTGTCTGTCGAAAAACAATTTCTTATTACTAGAAATGGTATGAATTTATGATTTTTTTCTCTTAATAGGTAGATAATTAACACCACTTTCAATAATTTTGTTTCAATAGTTCCTTGTTTGAGACGTGTTAAACAAATGGAGTATACTGATGAGGATTCCGAGACTCAAGTTGAGACTGAGGATGGTGAAGAGGCATGGGTAGCGACTCATAGTGGTCGAGGTATGTGTATTATGTTACTGCTGCTGCTACTATCACTATTCTTTTTCTTATTTTTATTACTATTATTCTTGGGAAAATCTTATGTTATTCTATTTCAATTGCTGATAATTAGCTACGACAAATATCGAGGAAATTGCTCAACAAATCGAAGGAGATGAAGATGAAATATCGAAAAGACTGAGCAAAGTTACAGTAGACGATATAATTGACAAGGATGACGATGATATTCCGAATATTGAAGATATTCCGGACATAGATGAAGTGGAAGAAGGGCTGGAGGAAGATGAGGATCCGGTATTCATCCTTTGCATCTTGCTCTATTATATTAGATTAGATTATATTAGATTATATTCATTTCTTTCTTTTCTAATAGTCGGCTTTACCAACAAATAATAATGAGGATGCGCCAAGGTAAATTTTTTATGTTGAATTTTTGTTTCTTCAATTCGTGTGCATTTGTTAATGTTTTATCTTGTTATTTTCAGTGATAAGATTCTCCAAGTGCGTACTTATGATGTGTTCATCACATATGATAAATATTATCAAACACCACGAATGTGGTTATATGGATACGATGAGGTTAGTAGTAATTATTGACGAGTCAATGGTATATGGATAGACTCTTATCTGATATGTCGAATACTTTATTAGCATCGCCGGCCATTGACTTCAGTTCAAATATTCGAAGACATTTCTCAAGACTATGCAAAAAAGACCGTAACAATCGAAACACATCCTCATCTAAACATGTCGTTAGCCAGCATTCATCCATGTCGTCATGCTCAGGTCATGAAAAAAATTATCGAGAAAATGAACGAAGAAAGTGTGAAAAAATTCGAGACATTTCAACAGATGCAATTAGAGAAACAGCAACAACAACAATCGGGTGGTGGTGTTTCTACTCCCAGTCCACAGGCTGAACAGGCACAAGTTAGAGTTGATCAGTGAGTATCTAATCATTCTGTTAATTTTCAATGATTGATTATTATTAATAAAGTTATTCTTTTTATTTTATCGATAGATATCTTATTATTTTCTTAAAATTCATGTCTTCTGTGGTTCCTACCATAGATTATGATCACACGATTAGTGCATAACGTATAATTTTTTGGTCACTTGAATTTAGCTCCGGTTGAGGCGTGATCGAAAACAATCGAATATCAACAAACTTTTTTATTAATGCAAAATTGAAATTATTTACTAGAATCTATCCGACATTCATCATGTCCTCTATTTATTGTTCTTTTATGTCTGTAGTAAAGAGGGTGTTATTTTAATGCCCGCCATAATAAACAAATTTGCCTTTTTTATAAAAAAATATGGTCCAGGAAATACAGCATTCGAAAAGCTTCAACTCTTCATATAATTCAAATGTTGGATTATGTTAGCGAGCTTGCCATATCTCTAAGTTAAGATTAATTCTCTGCATGTGACAACTATTATTATTGCTATTAGTATTATTATTATATTACTATTACATAAATCAATCGTCTATAATGAAGATATCAACGTTTATTCGCTCTCAATTATTTTTGTGATTTTGCCAATAGCAATCGTTTTTCCTGCGAGTTTAGTAAAGTGTTATTTATTATCGTTGAAAAAACGAATTAAATAAAATTGCGCAGTGATAATAAAGATTTTGAATATGAAACCTTCATCTCGAAGCGTAAATCTTCCAAGTTGGGGATAATCTTCATAAGACTCCACACAAATTGGTGCGGATGACTCTAATCGTGCAATCACTTTCTGTCCCTTCTTTACGAATTGTGGAGGTCGTTTCGATCTTCTTCCAGTTTTCCTATCTAGTGAATGCAGCAAAGCCTTGTTTGGCAAACGAAGAAAAGAATAAATTTTTGTTATGCTTCATTTTGTTACCCAACAAAAAGTGTCATACCGATATAGAGACTTCTTCGACGCAAGCGTGCACGTGTAAAACTGCACTATATCCCGCGCAAAGTATATTTTTGTGTTCTAGAATGGCAAGTTGTGCTTCGAAAGCGGTAGTTGTTTTAACCGGCGCTAGTGTTGAGCACACGACAAATCCGGTAGAAATATCCTGTGACATATATATGATTGCAAATTATCTACACCAATAGATTAATCGTTTTAATATGGAGTATGGTACAATACAAACCTCTTCTTCGATGCCCCGAAGTCTCAGCCGTACATTATCACCGCATAACCCAACTTTAATTTCCTCCTCTAATTCATTATAAACCAACGATACTTCAACAGCTCGCTAAAAATTATTTTATTATTGATTAGTATTATCAGAAAACATAACGAATTCCGAAACATTCCGAAATGAAACAATAAAAGAGGTAATTACTCTGTTCGGCATTATTAAAACAGTTTGTCCTTTACTAACTTTTCCTGATTCTATTTTACCGACTACCACTGTTCCCATATCCTGTGTTGATAGAATAACAAGAAAATGAGTAACAAACAAATCAAATAACAATTTCTTGGGGCATTAATACTTGCCTTGTACTTTTCAACAATTGGCATCATAAGTGCCGCGTCAACTTTCCTGTCCAATGCTTGCAGATTATCCAAATATTCCAGTAATGAAGGACCACTTTAGATGATTTGATAAATAAGAAATTAACTTAGTAAAGCCAAATACTCAAAGTTTCCATTAATAATGACTAATTCACTTATTGATTATTTAAATTGTAAAAAAAAAACTATTATTACCTGTACCAGGAGCAAACTTCTTCTGAGACACGATCTTTCAAATTAGCTCCCGTGTATCCAGAAACAGGCATGAACTGAAGATCTATAAACAGGAAAAATTATCAATTATTAAATTAATTATTATTAATATTAATTTTATTATAAAAAAAGAGATAGACCTGTGGCAGGATTATATCCACTTCCTTTAAGAAAAGGTGTGAGTTTGGTGACACATTCATCATATCTTGAAATAAATAGTATCATCTTTAATACTGAATGAATTGTAAATATAATATCCAAGAGTTATTATATAGTTATTGTTTACCTTGCTTTAGACCAGCAAACAGTAGGATCATCCATTTTATTAACAACCACTATGAGCCTATTCACACCCAATGTTCTGACCAGCAAAGCATGTTCACGAGTTTGACCTCCTCTTTCAAATCCTGTTTCGAATTCACCTTTACGGGCAGAAATCACCTTTGTGGAAATAACATTAAGTTTAAGGTATGTAAATGATCGATCATTATGTGTATAATTATTAATCACCTTACCAAGACTGCTACATCGGCTTGAGAAGCTCCTCCTATCATACTTGGAACATAATTTTTGTGACCAGGAGCATCGAGAATTGTGTATCGACGTTTGTCTGTCTCAAAATAAGCTCTACCACATTCCACTGTTTTTCCCTTTTTTTTTAATATGCGTGTATTTAGCAGGAATAAGATACAATGTAAAAAAAAACCAATAAGATAATTTACTTTTGCACGTTCTTCCTTGTTTGTATCGAGGGCCCAGGAAAGGTACCAAGATTCTCGCCCTTGTTCTTTAGCTTCTCTTTCGTACTTTTCCATAGTTCTTTGATCCACCATTCCTGTTATATATCTTGATCATGGAATTTAAACATGTAAATTATTTAAATGAAAATGAGATCAACTGTTAAAAATAAATACTTACAATAAATTACCACCCATCGTTGACTTTCCAGCATCTAAAAAAAATAAAATTCCAATTATTCGAATATACTTGCTGAGAAAAAATTGTCATAATTTACATACAAACCTACGTGTCCAATGAACACAACGTTCAAATGCTCTTTGCCGTAAAGTTCTTTTAATAGTTCAGCATCAACATGTTCGTCTTGTTCTTCTGGCGCTGATTCTGTTATTTGCGTAGAAGTGGAAGCAGTAGCGATGGTGCTAGAAGGTGCTGTTTTCTTTTCCGTCTCATTTTCAGTCACTGGTGCAGGCTTTGGCAGCGGTGGGGTACCTTCCACGAGTATATCAGCCAAGGTCTCTGATTCACTTTTCTCTACTACTGGTTCAGATAAAGTTTGAGCGGGTTGAGGAAGCCAACTTGGAATAAATTCTTTCGCATAGACATTTGGTCTAAATTCTGCAGCATTGGCATTTAAACTAAGTTTCGATGTTTGTTGAGCGAGTGTAGTTTCGGCCGCTTCCTCAGCTTCTTCCCATGTATCTCGTGTTGTAACATCGTTGTTTGCCTGAGTACTCATTTTCGCTGGTGGCCGAAAAAAACGAAAAATGAAAAAAATGAAGTTTAGGTATATTTGATATCGATATCAAATCTAAATATAGATCAATATCTCTAATCATTCTAAAATGTCATTGCATCAAACGTTCACGAAATCAAAAGAATTCGATGGTCCTCTTATTATGGATGGAGGCATGGCAACTGAACTTCAATCCACTCACGGAAAGAACCTTTCTACAGACTTGTATTCCTCCGAATATTTATATAAAGATCCTAATGCAATACGTAATGTACATCTTTCTTACTTTCGTGCTGGAGCTGATATATGTCTAACTTGTAGGTAGGTAAAGTTAATTACTTTTTAAAATAAAATGCATGCAAAACATTATGGGGGGTTTTGCCGAAAAGTGAGATGGCAAGGACGACAGGGTTTGTTTCCTAATATCCTTTCTAAACATTATTATAGTTATCAAGCATGGGTTGCTGGCTTCATAAAAAATGGGTTCAGCGAAGATCAAGCAAAGGAATTAATGTTAAGATCAATACAATTGGCAAGTGAGGCAAGAGACACTTTTTGGTCAGAATATCTTTCAAATAATGACAGCATCAACAACAACAGTAAGAAAAGAATAAAACCATTAATTGCACTATCAATTGGACCATATGGTGCAACACTAGCAAATGGATCAGAATATACAGGCGATTATGGAACCATATCAGATGAAGAATTAAGAGAGTTCCATGAATCACGTCTTCGAGTCTATCGATCGGAATTTTCGCGTGTTGACTTTATTGCTTTTGAGACTGTGCCATCTTTACACGAGGCGAAAATCATTTGTCAAGTTCTATCAAATATGGAGAAAGATGAATCATTACCTCCTTGTTGGATTTCTTTTTCATGTAAAGATGGAACACGCATTTCGCACGGTGAATTGATAGTAAAATGCGTGGAAGCAATATGTAGTAGTAAAGCGAATTCATTAGTATTCGGCATCGGAGTCAATTGCACAAATCCAAAATTTATTGCACAGTTAATTCAAAAAATTCGTCAAACTTTAGATTTGTTTAATGATAATAAATGGGTTCTTTGTTATCCGAACGGAGGAAACGAGTGGGATCCGGTTACTAATGATTGGGATATAAACAGTGGAGTAAGTGCAGATGTATTTGCAGAGTATGCAAGGAAATGGGTTAAAAACGATAGTAAAGTAGCAGTTGGCGGTTGTTGCAAGACTACTCCCGAATATATTGAAAAGATTAGGAATCAAATTTTTGAATAAGATTCTTAATATGATTATAAGATGAGATATTTAATCAAATAAATAAATCTGTTACATAAAAATTCACGGATTTTAATGTGCACGTTTTTAATGCTAATATCAAAAAAATATATTACAATGACATAAATATAAAATATATGTAAATTAAATAACTGAATTCACAAACATAAGAATAAATGTTTTTGCCAAAAAAATACACTCGTCTGTACAATCCATTAATTCGTACGAATTAAACTTCAATTGTTCTTACATTCGGATCCGTTTCGGGATCCTGTTCCTGATTTTGTTTTTCCTGCTCATTCTGTTGAGCCTCATCTTCATCACTATCAAATTTCTTTGTAGCATTTCTCTTGAGTCTGTTTGCCGCCTGTACAACATCCACCGCTCTTCTAAATGTTTTACGAGCATTAAAATTATCGACAAAGTCACCCAGCAGGTCAATGTCCATTGCCGTTTTACCCGTAAGCCATTTATGTTTTAGCGCTTGCTCTGCGGTTGGCCGTTTTTGCGGGTCGTAGTTTAATAGGAGGAGAATAAAGTCTTTGGCTTAATATTTAGAAGATTACTTTTGGGTTAATATTTATATGGTGGTGGATTAAATTTTGAATCGCATAGAGGAAAAGAATATGACGAATAATCAGTATAATAATACCCTCTTGCGAAATGTTTCTCCAATAACGATCATGAAACTCTACGCGTAAATTATTTCTTTCTTCGGTAGTGGCATATCGATCCTCATTACGAGGGGGCGCATACCCACATAATCTATATGTTCATTTCGAGAAAATTAAAATTAAATCGAGAGTTTACATAAATTCAATAAAATTAATAAATCATTCCTACAGCGCATATGTAATAACCCTATATAAATGAAATCAAAAAAAAAAGTAATTCATTAATAAATATAGAAAATTGAAGAAAATTATATTATAAGAGCTCCTTTATAGTTTACCCGGTACTCCAAAGGTCCACAGATTTACCATATCCAACTCGATTCAAGATTTCCGGTGCTATTACAAAGATTATATATATTAATTACTATTGTATTTGATGACACGATGTGGGTCGTAAGAGGTGAACTTTACCAACATAACCAGGCGAACCACAATAAGTAGTCAGAATATCATCGCTATCTTTCATGACTTTTGCAATTCTAAATATTTACCAAAATGAATTATCACATAATTTGACAATTCAATTTATAATATCAAATTACCCAAAATCAGCAAGTACAAGAGCGGAATCAGGTGCTCGACTCTTATATAATAAATTCTCTGGTTTTAAATCTAATATAATGATAAAATTAGTGTCATAGAGTAGTAACTAGCATTCAATCGAGAATTACACATAATAATTACCACGATGGACAATATTATGTGCGTGAAGATATGCTACTGCAGTAAGCAGAGTTTTTACAACTTCTACAGCATCAGCTTCAGTAAATTTTCCGCGGTCACACATACGATCAAATAATTCACCACCTGTTGCGCTTTAATTTTTTAGGAAACGTTAATGATAAAATATAAAGATGCGATCAATTAATAGAACAATTGAAAAATGAACAATAAGTCAAAAAAGGATACAGCTCAAATACAAGATAAAATTTATCTCTCGACTCGAACCAATCGTAAAACTTTACTATATTAGGATGATCTAGTCTTTCCAACACCTGCATCTCCTTGTACACCATATCCTCTTGGAACTTTACATCACGCTTCTGAATTATTTTGATGGCGACCTTCTCGCTTGTTTTAATTATCACTGCTTCCTTAACTGACCCATAAGTTCCTGCTCCTATTAGTTTACATTTTTTCAAGTTCAATAATAAAAATTGAATATTAATGAATTTTGAATATTAATGAATTTTCGTTTTAGTCTCATTTTGTAAAAGAAATGATAAGAGTAATAAAAAATACCTAAAGTTTTTCCTAGTCTATACTTTCTCTGTTAAATTTATATATGATTTACATTTTTATGCTAAAATCGAAATAAGTACAGAAATGGTAAATTAATAAATACCTTTTTGTCATAGGAGGGAGGTTGCGGTTCACGGTGAAGTGCGTGGTCTATTAAATTACCTATATTCATTGTGATTAGATCGCGAAATTTTGTAGAGAAGGTTTGGTTTAACAAAGTATTACCCCAATTTATATTTATTAATTATTATCATTAAATGTGCGATTTACGCCACAAAAACGGCCACAATAAATTTCGCAAGCTTGTGGCTAGTTGAATCGTGTATTGGTGGATTTCAGCAACTTGATTTCCTCCAAATAAATAATCTTATACTTGATCAAGAGAAAATTTTAGAAACAATAACAAACAAGTAAATCAATTATTTAATCAAGCTATCAATCAAATAATAAATCAATACAAACTGGTCACATCAAGAAAAATTGTTCTATATAACAATGCTATTAATCTGAACTAAATTAATTCAATCAAAATTTTTTTGACAACCAACAATAAAAAAATCTCTTTGGTTGAGGATAAAAGTGGGCCACGTATAGTAGTATAGATACTTTCTATGGGATTACTTTCATCCAGGCGACCGAGACTCCTCAATTAAAAGACAAAGAAACAATTCATCACTCTACGACGAAGAGTCTTTCTCATCAGACTCCGAGTTTGTGACTCACAAGTATCTTTCGCGCAATTTCTGACGAATTTAAGATGAATCTATTCATTTTTAGCATAAGAAAGGAAGTGGAGGATAAAAGTCGGAAGACCATAAAGTAACACGTCTTGCCGGGCGAGAAGCTGATGTGCAATGGTGTGGATGTGTTGGATTTTGCTTGCTCAACAATGAAGCAAATGAGGTTGCAAAAAGCCCTCATCAATCTATCTAAGATTTACATGTCCACAACCACCATTTGGAGAGTGGTGGTATATAAGTGGTAAGTTATTAAGCTTGTCATATAGTTGGAGAGTGGTGGTATATAAATGGTAAGTTATTAAGCTTGTCATATAGTTAGAGAGTGGTGGTATATAAATGGTAAGGGAGAGTGGTGGCGTATAAATGGTAAGTTATTAAGCTTGTCATATAGTTGGAGAGTGGTGGCGTATAAATGGTAAGTTATTAAGCTTGTCATAGTCTTCCACTTCACTTTCGAAGTCAGAAATCAATTGTTCGTAGCCGTGTTTGTTTCGCGCGACGGCTTTCAGAATATTTAATAAATGAATAATTATTAAGGACCGCTGGGATTTCACCCATGCTCTGAATTCACGAATTATGTGTCAAGAGTTGCCCTTCTACCTTTTTTATCACACGTCATCTCCAAATGTTCTATCTCTCGTAGAAAGCATTGGCTCCATGTGCCGTGCATAGTATTCCAAGTTTTCGCAAACGGCGGTAACACGTTGATAATGTCTCGGTTGGCGTTCAGGATTACTCTTCGGAGGAGTATCAGCCATGTTGGTATGAAGAAAATACCTTTATGTAGGTTTGTTTTATTTTTAATATCAAAAACCGGTTTTATAATAAGAAAAAAATTAAACCAGTTTCAAACTCATAAAAAGAACTTCTTTTCTGTGTCGATTACTCAACAATCGGCCTATCGGAGACTCTCAAGAACATCACTGGTTATTTCACGTGGTGATTTTCAGTACACTTTCCAAGTCTGTTTCATGAATTACTTGCTTTAGAATAATTGTTTCTTGCTTTTTATTTCGTCTATAGCGATAGGCACAGAATGTCCATTCACTATGGGTTATCTAGTAAATTTATGGTTAAATATCGATAAGCCGAACTGGTTAAAATTCGGTTTAAACCAACTGTGGTTTCGGCTAATGTTTTGGGCGAAACTATTTTTGAAAATCCGAAACGTTTCGCCCAATGAACTTTCCTTTTTCATCATGGTGGCTCGGTATTACCTTTCTGCATTACAGGGAAACATACTAGAATACAAAAGTTCACGTGTTCTAGCAAAATTGTAGTTGGGTCAAGTGGTTACAATTTGGCTAGAGATTCATTGTTTCAAGTACAGAACATTATGCTGTCATCCACGGTTATAAATATCGTTACGTATATTAAACGCTAATTAAACTTCGTTTTCAAAAAGCATCTTATAAAACGTTTGTTAAAAGCCGAGAGACAGTCACATGATCATGTGGCGTTATTTGTGGTTCGGTATTATTCCACCTTAGCCTCCCATTTATGGTATCTGGTCACAAACCATGTTTGATTGTAAACAGTAATATTCATTTCTGGGATTCTTGTTCAAATAGTCGTGCATTTCATGAGCGTTTCTTTTTCATAGTAATAATCCTTGCATACTTCTATCTCGTACCATTATTGTCTCATATTTAAAAAACAAAATTTCTCATTCAATATTTTTTTATCAAAAAAATATAACCAATTACGAACTTACCGTTAAAGGAACAATCAAAAATTGTCTTTATATAGATATAATACGTCATTATCCCGGTGCACAGAATTCACGTGAATATTTTTCTCGAAATTGTGAGTCACGTTATTTAACTAATACATACCGAATTTTGGGAGCTTTTGAATTGTGTATCTTTCGAAAAGGTTTAATTTTTTAATTGCTGTCTAACTTAACACGATTGTGAAGAAGTTTTTTTCACCTTATTACATATAGATTTAATATTATCAAATATATATTTTTACACAAATACACACACAACTTCATATGTACATGTATAAAATTTTTCACACCTCTCGTTCGTAAACTTACTTTTTTTATAAATAGCTATATAACCTAATCAAAACACTCCAATGAGCGACCATTCACCGTGTATTCCTGTTCCACGAAACTCTCACCAAACAAATATCTTTCAACATAATAGCGCCTTTCGACAATTACGAACACCTGACATTAGCCATCAAGTGATGCCGATGTCTTCACGGTTCACAATTAGAGAAAGGTCCTTTAATAATGCTGGGTCAACGGAAACTCCTAAAGGTATGCATCAACCATAGCTTTGTTTATATTAGTATATAAATAGATACACATTCAACTCTAGGTTGGTTGGTTTGCTCTTATTAAATACCTATAACATATTGACAGTTGTCGGTTGTAAACGGAAACCAAGTGAACACGACAACGATGTTTCAATGAGTGATTCTAGAAGTCCCCCTAGCTCTCCAAAAGATATTCATCAAGATATGGATAGAGAATTTTATAACCCGGCAAAAAGAACGAAGACCGGCAGTTTTAAAGATTTTCCATTTAATAAACTATTAGGTATTATTATGATAATGATAATAATCATTTCTTCTCATCGTGAATACAATTTTTGTTAATCTATTCCTGGTTTTTATTAATCAAAAAAAAAATAGCAACGCTCGATAAACCACAATTGTTGACTTTAATAAATAACCTTGTCGATACACATCCCCATCTTCAGTCAGAAATCGCTTCAAACATACCTCGACCTACTATTCAATCAGTAACATCTACCTTGAACGGTCTGGAAAAGAGACTCCAAGAGAGTTTTCCATATACCAAATGGGGACCAAAGGAAGATGATTATAGCTTTAACAGAGTTAAACCTGCAATTGTTGAAATGAAGGTAATCTTTCTCTCACATATACATATTATTTTCTTCAAGTATGAAAAATTACATATAATTGATTGTTATTTTCTTAAAAAAGAATGCGATCTTGGATTATGCAGCTCACTTTACCTCACCAGAAGAATTTCCGACAACCACTTTCACCTTCCTTCATCTGGCTACAAGTTACGCACAACGTCTACCCAACTGGGGAAACAATCTTCATAATGAGTTGAAACGTGATCTATTGACAAAATTAGCTGATGATTGGAAAAAAGCTATCAATAGTGCATCGAGTAAAGTGAGTGAAGGCAAGATCTACGGACAATTGGTTGTTAGCGAGTGGGCTAAAAAGTAAATATACTATTATTATTACATTATATTGTTGTTATTCATCTTTATATCGACGCTTTATTAATCGAACTATTAATCAAAAAATTAGCCTTGCACAACATAATAACGATACAAATGGAAACTTTCAGGAAGCATTTGACACTTTTGTAGAAAAGTTTGGATGGATAATTGAGATTCAAAAAACCACTACATCTTCGAACTCTTCGTCACACTTCACCAATCCAATGTATTATTATTCAAATCCTGTGATGCCAGTTTAGCTAGCATCAGCACTTCGCCTAATTGGGTCATGGATTATTGATTTATATATTCAGGTTGCGAATAATGTGTTGATGAATAATCTGTCGTTATTCGCAGAGTGTATATATAAATCGTTATTATTATTTTCCACTTTATCCTTTTTTCTTGGATGACAAAAAATCTATTGTTTATATAATCAAGTTGTTTGTTAATTAATAAAATGAGATTATAGCGGATATAGTAAAGACATTTATTTATTATTATTATTAATTTATTCATTTCTTTCAAACAATCCTTGTTTGCTCAGTCTATCTTAATAAGCTTTTAAATAGATATAGACATTAAGTCTTCGGTCTTCTCAAAAGTAAGACCGGACCGTGATCTTTTAAAAATGAATAAGACTGTACATCGGTCTTATAGTATTATCATAAAATATTCTACAACAATCACGACTTCACAAATTGTAATTTGTTTATATCTTAGGCATTGATATCTATAATTTCTTTATTCAACAAGTGGTTTTGGGGATGTCACAGTATTAGGATTGCCGCAAAATTATGCCGCGTATAATTTCCAAATCAGGATGTCAACTCTTCAATACGATCAGTATAACTTCTTTCATTGACTGGGTTGAAGCACCGGAAAAACTATTTCACAGTATCCGTAGCGCCTTTTGAGGGCTTTTCCTGCTAATTTTTCGATTGTCAAAAACTTTCTTTACAACGCCTAATGCCAAAAATTATAGTTGATGCTAAAATCATTAATAGTATTGAGAATAGAACATTGTTACAAGTTTGTTTACTAATTGTAGAATTAGGTTACAAACTTGAACAAGAGTTGGAAGAGAAGATTAAATAGTAAGATAAAATAATAATAATAATAAATGGATATCTAAGTTCTATACAAATTTTTACTAAAATTGTTGTGGTTTTAAAAAAAATAAATGTGAAAAAGTTGTGAAAAAGTTGTGAAAAAGTGAAATTTTAAAAAAAGAAATATTATAAAGAAAGAAAATTATGATGTTTTAATTCTTTATACCAGTATCAAATATTTCAGAGCTGGGAAAAATACAATTAATAATACTGTTACCATTGTGATATGTTATATATTATATAGTTATTTATTGATATATTAGAACAAATAACCAATTAAATAAGCATAGCATAAAAGTTTAATATTTATTTATGATAATGATATTTCTCTCACATAATTAAGTTTGCTTGCTGAAATTCTTTAGTAATTGTCAAAATTTTGTCAAAATTATAATAAACTATTAATAAATAGCCCGTCAAAATTCTGGTGAATTTTAAAATCTGTCATAATCAAAATTATGTCAAAATTTGTAACAATTTTCATATATCCTTGTAATTTCTTGTATCATGTCTATCATTTTTCGTGTTATATTTATCATTTCTTGCATAACATATTAGAAATTAACACAGATCTATATTTAATACTTCTTAATGTTGTGCTAAATAGATTAGATGTAAAATGTAGATCATATTATTAATTTGAATACATATTATTTTTAATTACTTTTATTTTTATTCATTCTTTTTCTTTTATTATTTTTAATTTGTGTTAATTATCTTTTATTATTATTTATATTTCATACTGTTACCATATTATATGAGTTCTTGGGAGAGCTGGTGAGTGCTTAATAACGTTATAATAAGTTACTTGGCCAGGGTAATTATAGTAAAGTTTATTAAGAATGACGGGTGGGAGAGTATAATATAATCAAATCTATATAATGCATCA